GGAGAAGGGGTTGGAAAATGACAACTATGGTAGTTTCCCAAAATAAGGGATCCCCAATATAGACCCCAAAATACTATAGTGCTTATTATGGGGACCCCCAAAAAGGGTACCCCTAATTTTGGGAAACCCCCATATCGACCGAGGCGCCGTGAGGTAGTCCTGCAGCAGGAACTGGACCTCCCCGATCTGCTCCAAATCGTCATGCCTGAAGCTGCTCCAAACCCTACCCTCCCCCAATGAATGGCTTAGGGTTTAGGATTGCGACTTTAGGGTTTAGGATTGAGGGTTTAGGATTCAGGGTTTAGGGTTTAGGGTTTCCAAACATAAGGGGACCCCAATATAGACCCAAAAGACTATCATCCTTGGAATCGGGACTCCCCAAAAGAAGGTACCCCTAATCTTGGGAAACCCTAAAGCCTAAACCCTATATAACACCTATATCCCCCTTTGAAGGTACCCCTAATTTTGGGAACCTCCCCCAAAAAGATGCAAGCTGATATGCATAGTTTAGGAAAGATTAAACCCCCAACTCCCAAGCCGAACATCCTGCACTCCGCGAGAATTGAAATCTCATCCAGGGTTTCGTAAGCCTAGGGTTTGGGGTTGAGGGTTGGGATACCTGTGCCCTTCCGGGGATATCAAAGGAATCATGAGGAGAAGATCGTGGCTCCTCTCCAGGATTTGGGGTAGCCGCGAAATTAGAAACGCTTAGGCCCTAGGCCCTAAATCCCACTCCCAAAACAACTTACTGGTTGTTTGTAGGGAATATGGATAATCCCTAAATGGGCTACAGTCTAGACATGTCTAAACTCATTACAAAGGGTCATCTATGGATAACAAAGGGGACTACTATGGGAGTTATTCAGGCGGATACTAGGAGTTTAGATTACGGCTCATATAATCCCTAAAAAATATACTCCCGTATTCCCTACTAACCTCGAGAATTCATGTGATGCTCGAATCTTGTAGAAATGCTGCAGGCCATGTAGCACGCCAAGATTGTTGCGCACGAATCCTTCATCTAGTTCTGGTGCCATGGCACAAGCCTATGAGCAACACTGCCTTAGACTGTGGCTTGAAAAGCTTCATCAAGCGCCTGCCGATCTTGTTTTTTGGCAATTTCCCAACATAAGGGGACCCCAAGATTGACCCAACATACTATAGTCCTTGGGGACCTCCAAAACGGTACTCCTAATTTTGGGAAACCCTCATTTGGACTTGGACGCTCTATGATGACGAGCTCGCATGATCTGAGGCCGCTAGCTATGGCAGTCTCAAACACAGGAGGTTGCATGTTGCCGGTGATGTCCGGTCATCCGGACCTTCCGAACTTCACCTCTGGAAACGCGTGAAACTCATGAGCCCTATATTGTTTAGCACTTGAACCCGAACAAATACAGCCCCATCCCTACGCAAACCCAATCCATCCCTGTACACTTTTCAGGGAGCTACCCCTACAGGTATCCTGAAGAAGGATTTGACCCAGATGCTTCACGCTAACGCACGTAGCCCATCCCACCGAGCCCCAAAACCCTCAACCCCAAAGGGCACTCTGAAGGGGCCTCACTGAGAGGTTTTCTATCCTAAGCCCCCGACCCCCTATAAACCCTACATATCTTCCTAAGCAGACCCCAAAGGGAACCCGGAAAAAAGGGCCTCACCCAGAGGTTTTTTACCCCTATGCCCCCTAACCATCTTCCTAAGATCCCCCAAAGGGGTACCCTGGAAGAAAGGGCCTCACCCAGAGGTTGACCAGGATGTTCGTGCGAAGCTCGGGCTTCAAGTCTGCCTCGCGGAACTTGTTCTTCACCCTGACCACCTGAGCAGTGTTTTTTTGGTGGTATATATTGGGGTTATATTGGGATAATGGAAAGTAAAATGGAAGCTACTATATTATAATAGGGTATATATATTGGGGTTATATTGGGATAATGGAAAATAAAATGGAAACAACTATATTATAATAAGGTATATATTGGGGTTATATTATTGAGTAGTGTTTTTGGGTGGTTGAACCTGGTAAGATTCCATCCCTTATTTAAAATACTCCACCCACGAACGGAGGATATAATCGTACTCTGCATTGGGTACCATCGTATCCCCAAAGGCTACTCACCAGGGTTTGGGGGGCTTAGTGTTCGCGGGGTTTGGGGCTTAGGGCTTCAAGTTTTGGGGCTTGAGGTTTGGGGTTTAGAGGTTAAGTTTGCGCCAGTGTAGCATGGGATTGAGGCGTAGAGGTTTTGATCGAGGATTAGGTGTCTCTGTTGGGGCGTGTAAAAAGGAACTGGTGTTTGCGTAGTTCCTTCACCCTTACGACCCGTGTCGGGCAACCCGGCTTCGTATAGAGGAGATGTATGGGCTTCTGCGCGGTGCATGGAATCCCTTGACCCCGCCATCCCATCCCATCCCATCCCCAAACCTGAACCCTAAAGCCCTGAAACCCCTCAATCCTACGGCCCTAAACCCCTAAAGCCCTAAACCTAAAGCCCTAAATCCTAAAGCCCTAAACCTTCAATCCTAAACCCTTATCCCTTATTCTTCCCGGCCTCGAAGCGCTTCCGCAGCTGGTGGAAGGCCACCGCCAGCACAAAGGGGTCCTGTTAGGAGGGAAACATGTAGGGCTTAGGGTTTAGAGGTCAGGGTTTAGAGTTTAGGGTTTAGGGATTTGAGTAACCCTACTGGGCCCTGCTAAAGACATTTCCTGTCCTTTCATATTCGCAGAGTGTAGGGTCTCAGTTTGTGGGGCTGCGGTCGCCAAAAATATCACATCAAATTTCCCTCCCAAATCGTCCCCCTCTTTTGCCTCTTGCTACTCGGGAAGAGGGCATGGTCCAGCATGGTGGCCTCCAAAGATCCCTTTGTGAATCTCTTTCTGGAACCCGCCAAAAAAAGTAACCCCATAGGGCGTCCCACAAGAATCACAAAGAATATCCCCCTGCCAGACTCCAATCACCCTTCCCTAAACCCTTGGATGGAAGCGGTCCGATGCGAAGATTGTGGCGCGGAGGAAGTCACACCTGAATTGCCCGGGTGCAGTTAAGGTTTAGGCTTTATGGTCTGAATGAGGTTTAGGGTTTAAGGTTGAGGGTGTAGGATCTACGATTTAGGGCTTGGAATCTGGGATTTGGGATTTAAGACTTCGGGGCTAGGATTTAGGGTTTCGGATCCAACGCTTCGGGTTCATGATTTAGGGCTTCGGTTCCAAGGTCTAAGGTTTGGGGTCTATCCCTAAGCTCCGGAAAGACTTCAACAACCTATCTCTGGCAGGCAAGAGCTGAAGGAGTTTAAATTGAAACTACCCTGTTGGGGGTCATATAAGGGGTAACTCAGACTCAAGGATCAATTCCTTCATTTCTCTTCTCAACGGGAGGTAAGACAGTACAGCCCGCGAAATGGTGCTCTAAAGCATTCTAAACTCGCATCTTCGATTTCATCTGTTTGGGAGGGGGATCGGAGCTTAGGGGTTTCAGAATTTCAGTATTTCAGTCTGTGCAGCTTCAGAACTCAGGGCTTTAGAGCTTAGGACACAGGGATAAATATGTAAGGGTTCAGAGTTTAGGGACAAAGGTCGGGCAGGATGATATTTGGGCACGGTTGAGGGCTTAGGGCTTCTCCCAGGATAATCGCCCCCAGCCCTCTTTATGAACCCTCCCTGTCATACATAGGTCCTGTGCTGGACATTTATGCTAGGGAGAGGCGGTCACGAATGGATGGGTGAGCGAGTACAGATTACCGCTCCAGAGGACATGACCCAGAATTTGCATGATCTCCATCTGCGCCTCCATACGAGCTGCTGCGTTCCCTAGCTCAAAACAAGTAGACACCACAAGGCTAAATATTATCCATCAGCTGCTTTTACAATAGTCTTGCAGAGCGCGCTTCCTGCATAATCCGTGCTCGAACAGAACGAAGCTAGGAAGCATGCAAGAAGGATAAGACTGGCGAGAAAAGATTCATTCAGCTACAAAGCCATCATCCCCAACATTGCCACAGCCCTAACCCAGACCCCTGGGAGGATCTAGAAAGTAGAGCCCCCAAAATGGTACCCTATACTACTATGGGGTAATTTCTAGGAACCCGGCCAGGGGTCTGGGAAGGTGAGCCTAGGCGCACGTAACGTGCCGCAGGCTTCTCGGGCTTGTTCTTGTAGTCGGCGTCGGCTTTGTCCTGAAGGGAGTAGCGTTTTTCTTGGTGGTTGAACCTAGTAAGATTATATTCCTTATATAAATTCCTCTACCCAAAAAGGAGAATATAATCTTACTCCTTGTCGGGTACCATAGTATCCCCAAATTAAATACTACTCAAGGGGCTGAAGGGTTTGCAATTGACTTTGGAGTTCATCGCCTTAACTACTGGGGGTGAGTAGGGAATAAGAAGATTGAAATCCCTACTAATCCCTATATACATATCTATACATTTTTTTCGCTTATTCCCTGGGTTACTAACACCTATAAGCCATAGTAACCTTAATTATCCCCATTATTCACCTTCTTTCCAAGTAACCCTAAGCGCTAAGCCCCATAAGCCATATAATAACTCCGATTATCCCCATCATAAACTAAACCCTAAACCGTAAAATCAAGCCCAAAACCTACTTTTTACTAAGTCCCCATGACCCTGCAAGTCTTGTCAAGCGCCTTTGGGCTTCCAGACTACAGGGCCCCATTTCTTAAGGGGGTCCTTAGGGTTTGGGGTTATGTTTAAGGGGGTCCTTAGGGCTCCGGGTTTAAGGTGATTTTTGGAGGGCCCTGGGGAGTATATGAAAAGGAACCCCATTTTTGGGGACTACCACACGGCCGCCAAGAGCCCGAGCAAGAGTGCCAACAAGGAACCTTGTTGATGGATCCCGGCATCGGATTGCAGAGACTCTGGTTCCGCAGCAATTTCCCTAAATATTAGGCACACGCTACGGACACTTTATACAGGAACTTGGAGAAGATTGGCTTTCATGCTGCAAGAGTACACCCTAAACCATGTAAAAGAGTTTCGACTTTGGTGTCCTGCGCTCGTTCCTTGGCCTTGATGGGTGCCACCAGCAAGCCCACGTGCTGGCCCACCTGCCACCACTCCGGATGAGCATGGCAGGTTTAGGGTTTAGGGGTTTAGGGATGGAAAGAGCTCAGCTGTTTTGTTTTGCTCTGGGGATGCTGCTTGGGATTTTGTACTTTGCATAAATATAGGGGGGACCCGAATATACTGCAATCCTTATGATTGGGATCCTCAAAATGGCGCCCCTGATTTTTCGAAACCCCCCATTTGTGGCAATCTGACATGCAATTCCTGCAGCGTATTTCAAAGCTGAGACTCTGCCTCTTGAGAACCAAATTCTGCGTGCCCAAAGGCCCTCAACCCTTTTGCAAAGGGCGCGTGCGCCACATCTTCACCAAAGCGTGCCCGACAAACCCTGACCCCAAACCCCAAAGCCCAGCCCCTATTACGCTCGGAAGGTTCATGTGATGAAAAGCAAAATACCCAAGAAGTATGAAGGATCCCTAGTTTCTGAGAAGCATTCATTTCCATAATCCGTAAAGTCCAGGTCCTGTGTATCTTAAAACAACCCGCAGGTGTCCAGTAAACGCCCGAGATCCAAACGCCGGCACCTCTGCTTGCTGGTTGGGCCCCACCTATTTTTAGCAACCCTTATAAATCTGTATATATATATATATCTTTCTCTCCTTTTGTATCGATTCCCAGCAACGGTGAAACCCCCCAATTCAGGCACCTCTGCTTGCTGATTGGGCTGCAAGGGATGCGTGATGGGATCAAACTGCAACTCACCGAAGCCGAGGTTGATGAGATCTGCTTTGCTTTTGATTCCGTTCACCTTTGGGTGTTGCGATCAAGGGCTTAGGGCTTGGGTTTTGGAGCTCAGGGCTTTGGGGCATAAACTTTGGGGCGAAGGGCTTAGGATCTGGGGCTTAGGGGTTTTGGGGCTCAAGAGTCAGCAAAAGTTTATTGCACACTTTTGCGGTAAACGCCGAGGGCATGGTTCAGGGGCTAGGGCTTTCGGGTCAAAACTCAAGTTGGATGAAGGTTACCTTTGGCTCTGGCCCTCTCCTCTTCTTCTTCTTCTTATTATCACTACTATGATCGTCAGTAGTAATATGAATACCGTTATGACGATTAGTATTCGTAGTGCGAATACAGGATTTAGGATCGGATGGCGTTCATGTCAAAGCTCTCTGGCTTCTTTTGTGGGGCTTGACACCGCAGATCCCACTTGGTATGGCCAATGCCAGGTCAACTCCCCGAATCAAACCGAGCCTATTGTCCCCCTTAAGTAGATAGTATCTGGGGTATATGGGGGTCTTATTATAATACACCCTATTCTATCTACTTAAGGTGGACTATAGCTACAGAACATTTTGGGATTTTTGGGTTTAACGGTTTGGGGTTCAGGATTTTTCTGAGCGCTGTGTTATCGGGTTGGGAGCCTGCAGGGTTTCTCAGTCGTCAACACGTTTGGCGCTAGTGCTCCGAGTGACTTCCTTGCAGATCTCACGAAGCTCCTGCATCAACTTGACTTCGCATTGTAAGAGCAATGCTCGTCTCAGTAATCCTCTCCCAATAATATCACCCACCCCTTAAAATAGACCAATCCTGCAATATTACAAATGGAGCACAATGGGAATAAAGCGGGCGGGGGGCAGGGGGCGGGCGGTTTCATAATAGGGGACAGGGCTACAGTGGAAGGAAGATGTGGCAGCGACAAGGTCGCAACGACACTCTTCATGCAAATTTGCCCCTCTGACTAAGCACTCACTTTATCTAACCCATTTAAGGGCACTAAGAGGGTCTTGGTAATTAGGAGTTGCCCAGACTTTTCTGAAGACAGTGTATGTTCTACAAACTAAACTTGGGGCACATCTGCAGTGGCTTCGGAGGCACTCCTCGGCCATTGCGCCAACACTTAGGTAGATCACATATGTAATTACCACAAGACGTGCTCGGACTTGCGAGGTTCCCCTCAGGCATGTCTTTGAGGGACTGAAGAAAGGGTTGTGACACAACCCATGCACGCTTGATGCCCCAAC